GGCTAGATGCTCTCAGAATGCAAATTAATGTTAATATTTGCTCCAGCCAAGAGTCATCTGTGAAGGCAGATTTGCTGAAGAAGAAAATTTGCAATGGCTTCTGGAGAATTCCATTCCTCTACTGGCCCATGATTTGAAAGGCTCCAACTTGGCAATTCAGATTAAGTCACTCTGATTTGCTAAATCCAGCAGGGAGTCTCAGAGTGACTTGGCATGGTGTGTGCCTGCCAGGGCTTCCAGTCTAGGCAGATTTCCTAGCACAGCCACGTGACTTAATGCAAAGTGAAGAAGGCAAGACAGTAGTATATGATTTATACACATTCAAGAGTAGCAAGTGTTCAAATGGCAATGTGTATAAAGGGGATCAGGGAGGGATTTGTGGAAGAAGAGGTTCCTGATGGGTGGTCTTGCACATTAAGAAGACAGCCTGGGAGAGCCATGGATAAGGACCCTGACAGGCAGCTAGGAAACAAGCAGAGATAGAAGCCAGGCCACATGGGCAGTGTTTGGACAGTGTGGGACTTTCTGAATTGGCTGTAGCATTAGGTACTGGTAGCAACAGTGATTCATCATTATTAAAGCACTCAGTTGAGAAATGAAAGCCAGCACGTGCCAGCTCACATGCCATGGGGAAGAGAAGAAGAAGCTGGACCTGAGATCAGCTTGGGAGGTAGGGCAGGATGATGTGATACAGAGGATGGACAGACAGACACACTTCTACCAGGTGGTTTGGGGTCTCTGAGTGTGAACATCCTGGAGAAACACCAAATGAGACCAGCCAGGTAGAGTGAGGGAGTAGCAGAGTCAGGTAGGAAGGGGTCTGGGTTTCAGGGTGGGGGTCATGATCCAGGGAGGCTCTGAAGCTCAGTGGGAAGTGGGCAGGGCCAGGAATGCAGAACTGCAGCAAGCATGGGATGAAATCACAGCTCTATCAGCAGAGGACGGCAAGGGAATTGAACGAATGCCACTGACTGCTACCAGGGCTGCCACTTACTCTCTGCAGGTCCTGAAACCCCGATGCCTATAGTGTATCTGATGCTCCACATATGCTATCAGGGCTTCCTTGCTTTGGATTCGATCTGCAAGGGAGAAGCAATGACTAATTCTGAAACACTGCTTCCCAGCTCAGGGTTGGCGTTTGAACCTGGCCCAATCCACCTCAGACCCAAGGGAGGAAGAAGCCTTCCTTATGGCTCCCAGGTAATTCTGGTAAACTGGACCAGGTAAAGTCCTGGCTTGAGAAGAGCAGAGGCCCTCAGGTTGGAATATTGCTCATGTAGAGACTGACAGCAAAACCCTCCTGCTATCTTCCTTCACTTCCCTGTCTCAGCTTGTCTCTTACACAAAGCGATCACCACTGATTCTGCCTGAGTACCTCTTGACTCTGTCATCTTTCTTCACTCTCTTTCCTTTTCTGGGCCAGGTTTTGCCACATCTTGCCTGTGACACTACACAGCTTCCTATTCAGGTTGACCTCCCAATACAATGCCTATTGGCCTCTTTGGGTTCATTTCTCTTGAATTCATCTTTCTCTTGTGTCTCACTCCTACTCCCCACCCTCACAGCTGAACTGAGCATCGCCAGTGACTTGTCCCCTACTTTGTACCATGATTTACCTGCATGGTTGCTACTCACCCTAATGCAATTGGGAGATCTCCGCCATTAGAAGGTGGGGACTATAGCCAAAACATTTCTAATTCTATTTCCTGGTGTGTCATCCCCAATTGTTCTTCAAAGTTCTCCTGCCTCCAGACAGGAACCCTTAACCCTAATTAACACTTACACATATATATGCAGGCAACCTACACACACATAGCATTCTGCCCCTGAACCTCAGAGGCCATTCAGAATTCATCAGCCAACATGAACCAGCTGGCTCTGGTCTTTACTGTAACCATCCCTGCAAGTCAGCTTACTAGTTCCCACCTGAACCTCTCAGTCCTGTCCTTCAGCCAAGACTGCTCTGCAAGCTCAGATCAGTGGCAGCTACCCCAGCAGGAAAGCAAATCTGAGTTTTCTTTTTACCAGACGCCTTGACATTGTAGCCAGAGCTCATTCATGCATATGATTTATTAACTAATTTAGCATGTAAGAAAAACATCTGCATTTTGCTTTTATCATCTTGCCAGCAGACAGGCTGAAGACAAGATGTGTACTGTAGACTTGTTTAATGGGGCCTTAAACATTCCCTCTCACTTGCCTGAGCTCACATGAGGCTCTGGTTTCAGAAGTTGTCTGATTTAACTGATCTAACACAAACAAACACGAAAGTAAAGCTCTCATCAACACATAAATACTGCAGGGACAGTAAGGATGGCTATAAAATCCATGCTGGCCAAGTCCCCCTTAAGCATTCCAGTCACCAGGACTATCTTGGAATTTGGGGAATAAAAAGATACTTTGGTTATTTTAATGCTATTGACATGGCCTGATCCCTTTTTATTATATACAATTCTAAGATTTTCCTATCTAGGAATGTAAGCCTGTAAGGATATTTATTTGGGGCAAAACATCAAAGTTGGATGATGTATTGAGTAGGATTTTGTCCCCCTGAAAGATCTGATCAAGTCTTAACTTCCCATGCTTGTGAATGTGACCTTATTTTGAGCTTATGATTGGCTGTGTGCTTCTGCAAACGTAATTAAGCTAAGATAAGGTCATACTGGGTAATAAGGATCCTAACCCAGAGAAAAGAAAAGGAAATATGGACACAAAGACCTGCAGAAACAGGAGGAAGGCCATGTGAAAGCAGGGGAGAGCCTGAAGTAAAGCTTCCGTAAGCCAAGGAACAAGGATTGCCAGAAGCCAAAAATGCTGGAAAGTGCCACGTCACATGTTTTTTTCCTCTGAGCCTCCATAAGAAACCACCTCCCTGCACATTTTGATTTTGATTTCTTGCCTGCAAAATTTTGAGAAAATACATTTCTGTTATCTTCAGCCACCTGTGTGTAAGGATTTCCTACACCAACCCTGGGAAGGTAACTCAGCCTACTAAGGCCATATCATCTCTGATACTTGAGATATTGTGGCTGGCAATGTGGCCTAGACAGGTGGTTCTGCTCCAGGAAAGAGGGACCAGGCATTGACATCTGCTATGTAGTAGTTTGTATCTGTAATGTCCACAGAGGCCCATGTGTTAAGGCTTAGTCCCCAACTGGGAGCCTCTGGGAAATGGTAGAAACTTTAAGAGGTGGGGCCTAGTAGGAGGTGTAGGCCACTGCGGGTCTGCATGCAAAGGGAACTGAGGGACCCTGGTCTTTCCACGAAATGTGCAACTCTGCTCCACCATGTACTCCCAGCCAGGATGTGCTGCATTGCCATAAGCCCAAAAGCAACAGGTGCAACTGACCAGGGACTAAAACCTTCAAAGCTGTGAGCCAAAACAAATCTTTTCTCTCTCTGGCTTGATTTACCTCAGGCATTTGGTATAGCAATGAAAAGCTGACTAACAAAGCACCATTTGGCAGAAGTTCCCCCACTGCCTAGGTTTTCTGCTTCTTCCCACATAAAGTGAAAGAACCTGGTTGAAAATGAAGGACCTTAGATTCCATTAGGTGTGTGTATGAGACTGTGTTATACTCTAAAGCAGCATTATTTTGTACTTGTTGACACGGGCCTCACCATTTTTACTAGGCAGTGTCCTCAGAACTGCTGAGGCTGAGCGGCCCACAAGCATGGATACCACCACCCAGCCAGCCTTGGAGGAAGTGCAGGTAGAGGCCCAAGGACACACCCATTTGTGGCTAGCATTTGGTTCTTATGGTGCCTTCAAAATCTGTACCTGAACCCTGCCTCTCTCTGGTGAGCCAGATACTCACCAGCCCCTGGAGAACACGCCCAGACTGAGCTTATATCTGCTACCCTGCTTCGAATGCTAGCTGGACACCCACTGTCCAATGGGGGAGCATCTTGATGTTTTCATTCCTTAGCATATTGGAAAGTGCCATGAGGGAGAAGCAGCAGGTATTTTGCCAAATCTTTTGCACAAGAAGCATACATTCATGCCCACCCTTGCCAGGGTCTCCAGACAGCAATCCCACAGCAACTTGGGTTGCAGGAAGCAGACTGCCTACCCATGGACCCTGGGGGATAACAGAAATTCTATTACAACACCTTCTTTCCTCTGTCCTCCAGTTATCCCTTATGGGATCTTGGTAATGTTTGCTAAGTTGCACTTCATTGAATAAGGTTATTTCCCCAGAGGACTTTTATTCAGAATTATATTCATAATTTTGCTTTCTGGGGAACAAAACATTTTCCTAGGAAGACAGCTCTCATTCCTTTATCCAAAGGAATAAAACTGAAGTTTTTCCACTCCTGCAGATTTTAAGATTTGGGTTGGCAGGCTGTATGTGCTGTGATGTCTTGCATCCTCGCTCTCTTCTTTTCTTGTCGTTTTTGCTTAATGGCCTGTTGATAAGCTCCATGAAAAAAGGACTGAGCTCAGTCTTGCTCACTGTGGTATCCCCAGTCCTCCACATGGTGCCTAGCCCAGAGAAGTTTCCTGATAACTCTTTCCCCCATGAGTGAGTGCCCTCCTTCCCAGGGTTAGCTTGACCCTGGCTTCACAGTGCTCAGCAAGCTGGTCATCCTTTCTCTGAGCTCGCGGCAGGAAGGGGTTTCAGGATGACAAATGTTGATGTAGACAAGCTGGAGTCAACCTCTCACCCTGCGATCTGTTTTGCAATCTATAAAGAGCAAAGGGGATCTCTTGCAAACATCAGGCGGGAGCCAAGAATTTGAACTTGCTACGCTGGGTGCGACAGTGGTATGGCTTCTTTCCCAGCTATAACAGTAAATCGGTGTCCCGAGTTATTTCTGCTGAGTTTGATGCCTATAGGAAACCCCACAGAATGAGCTAGCTCTCAGAACAGGCTTTGACTGGTTCTGCTTATGTCAGTGGGAATATTTGGTAAAGTGGGAACACAGGTAAAGACTTCATTCCCAAGCACCCCTCTCCCCCGGTCTTCTGCAGACCTCCCCCACCACCTGCAGCCTACCACTAAGAGGATGGGGAATGGTGAACTGCTTCTTGTTGATGCGGATGGGAAGGGGACTCTGCTTCTGCCCCAGGCTCTCCTTCCGCTGAGCTTTTCTCTGTTGTACCATGTGTTCTAGCTTCTTCAGCCTTTCTTGGGAGCGAGAAATGAACTGAGGTTTATGGACTTCCAGAGCTTCCTAAATGGAGCAAACAAAATATTTTATTTTTAAGAGAAATGATACCAAAAGGCAACACATCCATCTGATTTAGCTAGCAGAAGCCAATCAAAAGCAGGACACTCAAAAACTAAAAGCTGCGTTCAAAATGATTCTTTTTCCCCACAAGCTTGTGTAAAATGGGAACAGGCACGTTGATGACACAGGTCCTCGTGGTCAGATCTGGCCAGCACCAAGGGCCCCACTTCACAGTGTCAGGCAGTAATGATCATCGAGAGCATGAGTGCAAAAGGCAAACATCTGCCCAGTCATCCTTTAACAAGGTCAAATCCCTAATTGCCAATAGGCCCTGCATCCCAAATTCAAAAGACAATGTCTGGGGGTGGAAGGTAGGCACAATCACCAGCTTCACCGGGGTTGGAATCTTGAAAGGCACAGACTTTGGGAAGCAAGCGTCATCCTCCCAGGGTGAAAAGCGGGCCTCTTCAAGAAGAACTATAACTGTGGCTCTAGGAAACCACTCCTGCTCCTGGGTAGATAAAGTTAAGAGGAAATATCTTCCTGTGTAGAATAATTCTATGAGCTCCACAGAAAGGGTAAGAAGCCCCTAAATCTCCACATCTGCAGCATCCCTCCCACCTCTATGCATGCACCAAGCCACAAGTCTGCTACAAAAGACTGTCTGCTGCCATGCCAGACACTAGGCAAGGTCCTCTATATGGATACACTGTTTCCTGGGATAAACACATGGATTCTGAATCTCAGATGTATTTATTCCCACTGGACAGACGCAAACACTGACACACACAATACCTTGGTAGAATACATGGTGACCCTCAGCTGTGAGAGTCATGCTTTACTCTCTTTGCCCATCATTATCTTAACTTCCCATTCTCTGGTGGTCTGTACTCAAGTCGTTCCCCTTCCTAGAGGACCATCCACAGCCTCCCCAACCAGTTCAAGTTCCATCCACCCCACAGAGCCCCAGTGGATCTCCTCTGTTTAGCCTGATCACCATGGGACTTCACAGATCACCTGATGCAATATGTCTATCTGTATGCTGGGCTGCAAGTTCCTGGAGAGCATGAGCAGATGATGTCGCTGATATTGTATCTCATGATCACAGACACTGCACTGAGCTCTGCATATACCAGGTGCTGAGCAAAGGTTCACTGAGTGTGATGCCATGATGGAAATGCTCCTCTGTTTCATTTGTCTCTCAGCCATCTGGAAGCTCAGAGTTCCCCAGGGTGGGCACTGTGGCCTCCATCTTTGTCACTTTTCTGCCTCTGGCAGCTGTGACAAGAAAGGAGGCTTCTCACCAAATGCCAGCCGCTAGCAACCTGGCACCACATCCACCAATCACAGGGTGTATGGAAGTTTCAGGGGAGGCTGGGGCCTGGAAAGACAGCTCCTGTGAACGCCCTGCTCAACCGTGTGTGACTGCTACTTCACTCCAAGGAAATTCTTGGAGGCTCAGGATGCTTGGGGGCACCATGAGCACATCAGGGGGTCTCACTGGACCCCTGGGGAGGTAGAAGTTGGCCAATGGAGCCATTTCTACAATCCCAGGGAGATTCACAACATACCAAAGTTGTGGGTGGCTGTACCATACACTGTAGCTGGGGCTTCTCTGAGGCTCATTGTCCTCTTAATTTTTATAACTTCAAAAAAATCTGTCCATATTACTTCTATAACCATAAAAAGTGCCTAAAAAGATCTTCCATATCTTTCAACTCATGGCCATATGACTTTGCCAACTTTCATAATCTTGCAAAGGTTCAGTGTCTTGGTCCAAAGACAGGCTATGGGGGTTCCTGCCTGTGGGGGGTGCTGATGACTATTCAGTGACCTGTGCAGCCTTTAGGCACCTGACATTGCTATGATCGTGGTCACTGTTGATAGTATTTGACCCTCATCTTCACCAGGTAGAGTCAGTGTCAGCATCTCCATACTCAAATGGTGAAATAGGCTCCAAAAGGTTAGGGAACCTGCCAGGCTCACACATCCATTAGGAAGGAGAACCCAGTTTCCAGTCTCAGAGGCAGAAATGAGGCTGTACATCTCTTCTCCGTACAGCAGGAATTCTCTCCTTTTGGTGGGAATCAAGCAGGGATGTTCAGCAAGCCTACCTGCAAAGTCAAAGTGCTTGAAGGTGCATCCTGAGGATCAGGAGTGTCTTCTGACAAACCAGGGGTCGCAGGTCCCTTGAGGGGTGTTGGTGAGGCAGGTACTGGTGAGATCTCAGGTGTGGTGGAGTCCTCATTCTTCTTACATTCTTTTATTTTTACAACCAAGTCACAGCATGTATAATCTCCTAAGAGAGAAGATTCAGAATTCCATTTAGAGGACACTGAGTGATTTTCACCTGGCTCCTCAACACCATTAGACACAGAAGACAATTTTGAAAATAGAAATGCCAGTGGGATATTAATGGGCCTCGTTAAGCCAACAAGATCATGCCTCATCACGGACCCTTCTGGCTGCCCTGATCACAGAGAAACACGCACAGTCAGCCACACTTCATGGCTGGCTAATTATGCCATGGAGGTATTTTCTTGGCTTCTGGTGCTTACAATGCCTTTGCTCAAGATGAAAAGAAACCTTTCTATTCTGTTTCACATTAAGTATGTCCTGTACAATTATTACAGTTGGGTTGTTTCAGGACAGCATATTAATCTGCCTCATGTTTGCTACATTAATGATATAAGGACGGGGGATGGCGTTCAATTATTTATCTCTCCTCTTAATTTGCCAGAGTCTACCACTGGCTTTACATAAGTAATTGGAATGATTTCTCTCTCAGAACTGGTTTTGGCCTTTCCTTGGGGCCATTTTGATTTTCCTTCCTGGAAAAGGTCAGGAAATGAGTTGATTCCTCAGCACTTCAGGGTGGTAGAAGGGAGATCAGTAGGAATTCACTGGCCACTTCCTGACCAATGCCTCAGCCTGGAAAGTAAGGATAGGTTCTTTGGTCTATCCTTAGCTCACCCTTTCCATTTGAGCCCCCCTTATTCTCCCTACTGCACTTTCCCCAGCTCAACTACAGCCTTACCAGCTCTGACCCAGCACAAAGTCTTCCTTACCTCATCTGCATTGCTATCTCCACAAACCCCCTTGCTTCTGCTGCCCAGTGAGACCTTCTATCTCCAGGCTGAGTCCCAGCCTTCAGGATGCTGTCTCCCTTCCCCAAGATAGTGTCTGTCTCTGCCTCTGTCATCCTCCTAAAGAGAAACACCCTTCACCCACTCAACAGCATGGGGCCCAACTAGGATCATAAGATGATGTTTAACCCCATGAGCCTGTGGCTCTTTCAAGGGCTGGACCACATCATCCTCCACAGTGCCAAGCCAGGTGCCTCAAAAGAGCTGATTCTTCTGAGAAAGCTGAAGTGGCCATCAGGAGGCTCCCTTGACCATAGGATGCAGCCCATCTGAATCTGCTGTCATTTTCATGGTGCATGCCTAGATCCTCTCTGGCTAGGCCAGGTGACCTATCTCTATTCAATATCCATCAATGTTCCCTAGTTCTGACAAGCCCAAGCTGACCAGACCTTGCATGGGTTCCTCATGGTGAATGCTCCACTGCCAGCTGTCACTGTCATTCTTCTCTACCAAGACCACACTACTTAGACATTCTCATGTCGTTCTCTTTCATATCTCCAAGCATTTGCTCTTGCTCCTTCTGGAGGATTTCCCCATTGGCCCACCTCCTCTTTAGGTATAACCACTAGCTTAGGTTAGCCCATGTCTAACTATCAGCCCAGATTAGCCCAGGCCTACCCATTAACCTCCAAACCCCCTCCTTAACAAATAATTCTCCCCTCCATCATACTATTGTCCTGTCTTCTTGGGAACATTTTCTCCAGCTCCCAGGGTTGGCCACACTTGCTTTGTACCCCTCTCTACCATCTCACCATTACCAGAGCCAGCGACCCAAGGGCCAGCCCTAATTCTCCCATCTTCTTCATTTCTACAATGAGGATCTGCCCATTAAATTCGAAATATCTACGGCCTCCTACCCAGTAACTGTCCACTATCCTCTCTTCCTTGGGCTGAGAGCTCTCTGCCATCTGTCTACCATGTTGTTTATAAGTCAGTGTCCTTAGAGGAAACCTCATTGCCTTCAGTCAGACTCTAGCATTGGTTTTAGAAGGGTCTTCCAATTTGAACCATGGTACCTTGGTGTGGTTCCTGACACCAGACCTCACCCTTGTGCTCTGGCCCCTTGTCCCCTTGCAGTTTCCCAAATCAGCCAAGAGCTTTCCATCTCTTTGCTTTGCGTGTGCCATTTCCTCAGCCTGCAATGCTCTTTGCTCCTGGCCTGAGTTTTAAACCTCTAGTAGCATTTCAAATTCCTGATTAGAATCCTTTTTATTTTTATTTATTTATTTGGTACCAGGGATTGAACTCGAGACCTTGCGCTTGCAAGGCAGGCAGTGGCACCACTGAGCTAAATCCCTGGTCCTAGAATCATTTTGAGAGAGAAGACGCCTCAGCTAGGCCCTCTCAGATTGCCATCCACGGCTTCCTAGGAGCTTGTGCCACAGACAGAGTAATGCTGCTCACTCTGTCCTGTACTGGCCTGAGAGCCTGGAGGGCAGGGTGCCCTGACCACAATACATGATACACGGTCAATGTTTTATAATTGCTCCCATAATGGACTGATGAACAAGGAGCTAGAGATTAATGAGTTCCAAGAGACATTTTCATACATTACCATAACCATTTTAGCTTTTACAATGCAAAGGTATATAATTTTGTATCTTTCTGTCCTCCATTATGCTTTGCGAAAATTTGTAGAGTGATAGAAAAATCTAAACTATCCTACTGACATACTGGGGACCATAGACCACTTTCATTTTTGCCTCCTTCTTAGATATCACCACCCACTGCACTGTCCAGAAATGGCCAGCAAAATGACCTCCAGAGAAACGATGCCTATGCTCTACTTGGTTCCCTCCTCTGTAACAGGCTGAGATTGGGCCTACCTCATGGGCATTGTGGGCTCTAGTGTGCTCATGTCAAGTGTCAGCAACATGTAAGACTATACCACTCAGCCACTGTCCCTGCTAGTGCTCTGTCAGCCTGGTGGACCTGCTGCTTCAGAGCAGCTGCACCAACTTCTTAAGACTTTTCAGAGCTAAGGAGGTAGCAGCCTTATGCACAGTAGGACTGGAGCCTCTGACCCACATGGGGCTGCCTTCTGGATGCTTGTAAATTTCCCACGCTGTAAGCTGTTTCTGCTCCCTCTCTGCTCTGACACCTCAATAAGGTGAGCCTGTGGACCACAGGCTTGTGTGCCCAGGAAGACATTGCTCCATTTTCCACAAAAGAATTAGGAAAGAATCCTCTTGACCACTACCCTCACTCCTTACCTTTGGGGAGTTCTCCTTCTATCTGAGCACCGCTGTCTTCTGGTAGAGCAGTGCATGAATCTCGTAAGGGGCAAAGGAACCCAGGCAAAGCAGCTCTGGGTCTCAGGAAGCTTGGAAGTCGTCTCTCTGTGGGCTTAGAAAGGTCACTAGACTGACAGTCATCGTTCGCCAAACTGTCCCCATCAGGAAGAAATAGTTTAATGGACTTCTGCTCCACTGGAGGAGCAGACAGGGTCACACATGCTTCTCCTTGCTACTTCTTGCTGCTTCCAGAAAACACTTTTGTTTCTACTGAAGATGAAATGAGAGTTGTGCTCACAGTATCTAACAAGCCTATGTTTAATGTACCATGTCTGTTGCCCAGGCTGTTGTCCTGGAGGCAAGCTGGTAGGGTCACAACAGCTCCCCTGGGGATCTGGGGCATCAATATAACCACAAGTTCTCAAACTTTCACCGTATGATCTTCATCTTCCTGGTAAGACTTCCCCTGAAGTCTGATTAAGAGCTCCATTTGTATACACTGCTATCATACGTTCAGCAGTACCCTTAGAAACTCCTGATATACGTCCTATAGTGATCCATAGAGTGGATGATTTAGCACCTTGACTCGAGCCAGAGTATCAGGACTTAAACCCCACCTCCACCACTTTAAGCTAGCCAGCCTCAACCATAAAAATGTAGGTGATAATATAATGATTAATAATTATTTAAAAATTATTCATTTATTATATAATATAGTTTTATGTAACATATAGATACATTATAATTTTCTAAATTATATATTATCATCAAATAACTTATTACTTATAATAAATACCAGGTACTAAAATTGAATAATATACTAAAATAATAGCATACATAAAGTGCTTAGCACAGAATCTGATGCACAGTAATCATTTCAGAAATGTTAGTTATTATTATTGCAGAAATATTGATGCCAAATAATATACTTTGGTAAATATAGAGGTAGGAAACAACTTATCAGGTCACTGTGCGTAGCTCTAATGAAGTAATGGATTGATCTGTAGATGCATGCAATATGTTTTTTATTTCCACATTGTAATACCTGATGCCTAGAAACCACCTTATGTCATCAATAGGGGACTAGTTAAACTAAGTACATCTGTGCTTCATAGCAGTTAAAAAATGAGGTGGATGCTCTTGTGTAGATGTGGAGTAATATCTAAGATAAATTGTTAAGTGAGTAAAGCAAATGTGGGACAGTGCACTGAGTTTCCTTTTCTAGCAAATGAATGCTTCTGTACACAGAAATCTGGAGATGGGAAACCAGGCTGTGTTGGGAGAGGACAAGGAAGGACCAGGAACAGGAGAGACAGAGACTTTCTGTACACCGTCCATTTTATATGTGTTGATGTTTTAAACTTTTCTTTTAGTATACTCTATAAATTTTTTAAAGAGTTACTTATTTTAAATAAGGCTGTGGCACTTCACTAGTTTCCTGCTACCCCATACTGACACCCTTAAGGGGAATGGCCCATCTGGGGTGGGAGTCACTGCTGCTGGTGAGATTGTGTCCTAACCTTTCTGTACGTAGCCCACCCCCAAATCCTGGGATCTGCTGAAATAGCTTGAAGATTCTCACCGTATTTTCTCAGAGAGGTCTTCTACCAAAAAATAAATGGCCCCGCAACAACCTACTCTGATAACAACACTGACCTCCAACAATGTGTCAGTGTCTATAGTCTGATCCAGACCCTCTGTCCCCAAGTCTCTCATGGCCCAGCCAATGAGAAGAGCTGAGTGTGAATGACACTGGGGTGTCCACTACGATAAGAATGACAGAGACTTTAGGGTACAGTTCCTTACCCTGAGTACTTTCTTGGGATCCAGCCCAAGTAAGCCTTCAATTTGGTACCTCTCAATTTCCTGACTAAGGGATAACCATGTTCCTCTCAATTTCCTCACTAATGGATAACCATGCTCTTCTGAACAAACAAAATATAGGTAAATTTCTTACTATATCCCAGGGTTTGAAACATTGAAAGTGCTGAAATGACAGTTTTTATATTGGCTCTTGCCATTTGGAGAGAGAATTAGTCAACTATCATAAAATTTCATTTTGTAAGTTATATAGAAGAATCTTTGTAAAATTTATCTCAAGTAACATCAATTCTGTTTAAGTGAAAAATATTATCGGCAGAAAAAACTCCAAATAGATATCTCTTTCTATATTACTTATTTTTATCAGATACTCTCTTAAATAATAAAAAACCAAATTACTTATTAACAATGCAGCCTTAGTCTGTCATGCAATATAGATCCATACTAATGCATTTATTTACAGCTTTATAGAGATTAGTCAATCTTTTCATACATCTATGAACTATCAATCTCTTCACCTATTGTCTGTCAATCCATCTATCTACTATGGTTTGGATCATAAATGTCCACTCCTCAAGGCTTAGTCCACTCCTCCTTGCTTAGTGCCCAGCTTGGTGCTCTTGGGAGGTGGTGGAAACTTTAAGAGATGGGAAGTTTTCAAGTGGGAAGTTTTCTGGCCATTGGGAGAATACCCTTGAAGGGGATAGTTGGGCCCCAGCCCCTCTTTTTCTTCTCTTTCATCTTAACCAAGAAGTCAATGGTTTTGCTACTCCATGTGCTTCTGCCAGCATGTGCTGGCTGCTCCCTTTCCCAACTAGAGGCCAAAAGCAATGGATCCTCCTGATCATGGATTGGGACTTCCAAAATGGTGGGCCAAAACAAACCTTTTCTCTTTATAAGTTGATTATCTCAGGTTTTTGTTATAGAAACAAATATGACTAATACAATGTACCTGGTTTGACGTAAATTAGTATGTGAATGATTCAGTGTGAGTCATCACTTGTGATTTGAAAGAACGAAAGCAATCAGAAAGTAGAATGTAGTTAGTGTACAACTACAGAAGATAAAAATATGCTGGCAAAGAAGAACTTTTCAGACAACTCATCAATCTGTTCTCTCCTTGTGGCTTCTGAAGTGTAGAGTCATTGGCCATGAACATATCTGCAAGCAGACTTTTCAGGACATGGCAATACAGTCTTGTGCTCCCATACACAATGTATGCAGGGTGGACTTTAGGGTTCTTCATTTATGCCCTAAATTTCAGAAGGTCTCTGACCAGTGAAGACCCATTGCCACTGCAGGTTCTGCCCATATTCAAAGAAGCATGAAAATGAAGCCTTCTATGCCAAGCACATCTTTTACTTGGACTAAAGTTCAATACCTCCTCTCTGAGTCTGGCAGATGGAGAGGCTGAGGGACCACAAATTTCCTCCAAATAGTAATATTCTCATATTCACTTTTCTAAAGCACATGATACTCCACAACTCAACTATCCGGCAAACTTACTTATCCCAGAATCAAGCTGTGCACCAGAAAGTGAACAAAAATCAACAAAAGCATTCTGTCCAACAGAATTGTTTCTATTAACTTCATATCTTTGACTCACAAGACCCAAGAACCATTACACAGTACCCAGTTCTGCTTTTCTCAAGCTCATTGTCATTGTGAGATGCATTGTACTTACAACTGAAAGATATTAAAGAGAGTACTCACCAAGCCACCTCCTAAGTGAAGGGACAAAACTTTCCCTGAGCTTCAGACCTCATCTCTGAGCCCTTCTTGGATGATGCTCACCCATGTGCCACCAAATACAACAGCATGCCTGAACTGTGTGTTACTCCATTGGTTGATTTTTGTCTATAATTTTCCCACCTATGCAAGACTCCCTAACAAATACTGTATGTTCTTGGTAGCAAAATTCGAAAAGTAATCACAAAGCCAGGTAACGATGTAAAAATGTCATTGAATCTATGAGACAAAAGCTTCCCAAAGTAAGTTCAGCAGACTGGAGAGCAGGGGCTGACCTGAGGGTGATCAGATAGGGCTGACATGTTCAGACATGCAGGCTGGCAGAATAGTAGGGTCAGAGAAGCAGACTATTCTGTTCTTCTTATAATTTTGAATTTTAAACGACCCCTCAAAACTCATGAGTTGGAGGGTTGGTCCTCAATGAGGCTATGTTCAGAGGTGTAGACTTTAGATGGTCATTGATAATGAGGGTTCTAACATCATGAATGGAATCCCTTGATAGATTTAAAATTTAATGAGCTATTGGGAGTGGTGGGAATTTAAGGAGGTAGGGCCTACTTGGAAGAAGTAGATCCTTGGGGACATGTCATTGAAGCACAAATTTTATCCTCACATCTTCCACCTCCAACTGTTTCCTGGCCATCTTGAAGTGAGGAACTTCCTGCTATGAAGTTCTGCCCAACCACAGGCCTAGAAACAACAGGGTCAATGATCATGGACTAAAACATCTGAAACTCTGAGGCAAAATAAATCTTTTCTTCTTTAGGTTGATTTTTCTCATGTACTTCATCATAGCAAGAGGAAGTTTGCTAACACAATTCTGAACTTTACCATGGACAGGTTGAGCAGGACACTGTCTGTAGTAAAATGTGGGTGCTGAATCAAGCCAAGCAGCAGGGCAAGGACAGGAAAGGGAGGACTTTACCAACACATCCTCTAGATCAGCTGAGAAATGTTAAGGAGACATATAGACCTCTGTTGTTCTTAGGTGAGCCCCTCTTGAACCTCTGTCCTCATAGGCACAGTTCTGGCAACTGTGATTCTTGGGTTTACAGCAGACAACTAGAAAATTCCCAGTGGTGGCTGAAATGGACCAGCACAGTGGCAGGACTCTGTTAGTCAAATCTCATCACCGTGAGAAGTGACACACAGGCTCACAGAAGACAGCTGTCTGGGACACTCAGCTCAAGGCAAGTAAATAACACGTGGAACCCACTTTAGAATCATTTATATCCACATTATTTTAAATTGTGTAAAATGTATTTTGGTGAAATTTCAGCTCTCTGGAATTAAATTCATCCTGGCAGAGAAAGATGGTTTCGGTGGGTTTGGGGCTCAGCTCTAAAAAGATCCCACCTTCTTTAAAACAGAGTCCAACAGGGCCAGGGATTTAGCTCAGTCGTTCCAGCGCCTGCCTTGAAAG